TAATAAATATAAGTAGTGTTATAATAACTATAACAACAGTTATAATAGCTATAACAACAGTTATAATAACTATAGCAACAGTTATAATAACTATAACAACAAATATAATAAATATAACAACAGTTATAATAAATAACAGTTATAATAAATACAGCAAGAGTTATAATAAATATAACAAGAGTTATAATAAATAACGTTATATTTATTATAACTCTTGTTATATTCATTATAACTGTTATAATATAACAAGAGTTATAATAAATATAACGTTATTTATTATAACTGTTGTTATATTTATTATAGCTCGTTATAGTTATTATAACTCTTGTTATAGTTATTATAACTCTTGTTATAGTTTTTATAACTCTTATTATATTTATTATAACTGTTATTTATTACAACTGTTGTTATATTTATTATAACTGTTATTTATTATAATTCCCCCGAAAAGGTTTCAGAGAGAATGAGATTGTCTGTCAATAGAGAGCCAAATTTCATAGATGGATGATCGGCTGACGTCTGTTTTTTAGTGCCATCTACGCATAATACCTTTGTGATCGACTGGTAGATCGCAGTCGATGTACTGGGCACCCCTGCTCTAACAGCTCTCAAAGGGAATATCTGTGCCCTCTCTTGTTAAGTCACACAGAGTTGTTTTCTAACTGCATCCATCTGCTGCTTGGTGACGAGCGGACAGTGACGAACTCTGAGATGAACTCGAGCTTCCACGATGTCGAGGTGAGTTGCATATCCGAGTGAGTCACTGTACATTCGTCAACACTTTCAGGCCGTTGTGTTGTTGTGCAGCTGCTTTGACAGATGTTGTCTAGTGTGAACGTACACTGGTACGTCACTGCCACTTTGCTGAGCACAAGCAAAGGTGACAAAAGCACAGATTTCACAGCGTTAGTACTTAAACAACAGTAGCTCATGAGGTGTCACAGCTCAGGACAGAATTATTTAAGCAAAAATAAGACCGGTTCGAGTCCCCTACCGTTGACTTGAAGAATGTGAGTCTGGAAGAGTTTTTCGTATCCGTCAGCATGGCAGGTGTAGTTGCCCATGTGGGTGGTGGTCACCTTGGTGATGTACAACGAGCCGTCATCCCCAAAATCCTGGAAGAAAATAAAGGAAAGCAAGGAGCTGTATTCACCTTGAGAAATAAAACGTACAACCATGAAGCAAACATTGTGGCTGAAGGTTAAAAATGAAAGTAATCTGGAAATAAAAGGCCATAAAAACTATAATATCTGACAGTAAAGGTACAATGTGGAGCCACCGTTCATCAGTTTGAGGTGTCTTACAGAAACAACCAAAATACATCAAAGTTTAGTTTGCTCATGATCATTCCTCCAATCACAAAGTAATCTGAGAGTTCAGCTAAAGTCCACAGGAATCGTTTAAAACCTGATGAATCTAGTTCTGCAGTCAAATACTGAAGAAGTCTTTCTGCACATCAATGTCACTGAAAACGGCTAAACTTGAAACCCATTAGTGACCATCCACAATCATCATCATCATCAACATCAACAACAGTAAGGTTGAATAATTCAAACAAATCAACAAAATGTGTTCATGATCACGTAGAGACAACTGAGCGTGATGAAGACATGCACGTTGTGATTGTTCAGCGAGCGAACATGCAAAACAAAAAAAACAACAATAAATTGTTCTGACTGCACCAAAGACAGAAGCCCCGAAGCTAATGAGCCTGTTGACGGTGCGCTCCGGCTGGCAAAGAGCGAACATCTGGCAACGTAAAAACCACACCGCCACGAACGCTCATCAGCTCAACAAGCAATTTTTATTCATTTTAAAACTGTAGAATTTATATTAAACGCTAATTTGACTGTATAAAAATGTGCTTTTCTTAAAAATAAAAAAAGTTCTCTTCTTTATTTGTTTCAAGTCAAGACAATCATATAAATTCAAACAAAAGGCAATTTTAAATTAAACGTTTAGTCAAAATGTTAAGTTTGTGCAGTCACACACTTTCAGAGTGTGTAGTTTTTGCTTAATGGAAAAAAGGTTGTTTTTTTAATTACTCCTAGGTTTTGTAACTTTGTCTTTGTGTTAATTAATATACAAACAGTTTCCTTGCTATAGAAATTCCTCAGTAAATGTTAATTATTTTGTTGCTTGCAGGACTTTGGGATAAAATTCCCATTTTTGACCAGATAACAATAAAATCAACAAATACAATTTTAGTTTTGAATATTATTTGCTACAAAATATGAAACATTTCATGTTAGTAAAAGAAGCACAATATTTATTAAAACCTGACTTGAGTGTGGTTGTAGAAAACAATGTTCAGTCATTTAGTTATTTAAGCTCTGCTGTAAAAAAAAGAATGGAGACAAATGATGTAATTCCGCACATGTTAATCATTAATAATGTTGATCAGTTTTTACTGATGGACTCTGATCTAACTTTTGAGCCTGGATGAGTGAAGCATCACACTCCCACAATAAGAGCGGAAATCGATGGTGCATTTTTGCCCCTTGGGCTGAGAGCATATTGTGTCACCTTTTTAAATGAAAAATGAAGGTGGGGGAGAAATGAAACTCAGAGAGGTGGAACGAGCCACGGCGGAGGCTGTCGACATGATTCCTCCACCTCACCTCATCGCCCTCACCTCAGCTATCAGCAGCACCCAGCTCTCCGCAGAGGAAGCGGGCAAGGACTGCTCAGAAGGAAGGCAGACAAGGGCAGGTAGAGGAGGCTTTACAAACAGGCCGTAGCCCTAAAGAAACTATAATTAATAAAGCTGCCAGGGCCGGGTCACCTCTGGAAGAACACTGAAGGGCCACCTCAGGGGCTGACGGACTTCAGCGGTGACGAGGCGTTTTAGAAAACAGCCTTCGCTCTTTAAAAACTTCCTCTAAGAATTATAGCTGGCGTAAAAACATATAAACCCTCCCGTGTGTTCCAAAGTCTGTCAGATGAGTTTTAATTCTTGTCAGAATTACAAAAAGCTTAAAAACGAAGATTTCAAAAGGAATGGATTTTATTCAAATTACAATAAATAAATACACTTCAACTTTCTTTTAAACAGCTTTTATGTCTGTAAGATTCATGTTCTGCTTGTGCCCTGAAAACTGATGAAAAAATATTGTATCAGAAACTCTTTTTAGTAAATCATATAAAAAAAAAAAAAGAATAAAAATATGTTTCTATTAAATTGAATAAATCCAGGAAACTCTTTATTGTTAGAAAGTTTCAGCTGTTGTTTTAATAACACACATTAAACTAAATCTTAGATCTCTTTTAATTTAAAAATATATATTTAGCTGATGCTGGTTCTGAAGCCTAATATGATGCGTTTGTGTCTAGAACAGGGCTTTTCAACTAAACTGCTCCGGGGGCCACAGGCACTGAGAGCCAGCAGCTCAGGGGCCGGACATCCAGCAGTTAGTCATTATGTCAATAAACCAAGTGCTACAGTTCAATTAGTTTATTTTGTTGCATTGGATAAAAAAAAAGAAGAAATAAACAGAACCCAAACCCGGATTTAATACGGTATCTGAAATTTAAAAAAAAAAGTAAGAACTAGTTGGCAGGTCAGACTGGCGTCACCTGTGGGCCGCCAGTTGAGCAGCCCTGGTCTAGAACACGGCGTCTGTATTTGGGTTGTGAGTTTGATTCTGGTGCAGACACAGTGAGAAGAAATGATAAGATGTAAAAACTAAACAAATGGGAGAAATAGAAAACATCCTACCTGAGATTGGATCTGCCAAGAAAAGAGAACAAGTCAAATATTTAATGATTTATTTACAAATTGAAGCCGTTAGAAATAAATTAAATAATAATAAAGTGGGCTTCATGAGGCCGGGGCAGCAGTCGTGACCTCGCAGCCTAACTCTGGGAAAACTCTAAAAAATCATATTGGAACAACAAAAACATAACGGCGCAAATAGATTAGGACAAAAAAAATGATACTCAAAATAATAAAAGTAGCTTTGTATCAAAATACAAAAAAGTTCAATCTGGTCCTCTGGACATTCAAAAAAACAAAAAACAAAACAAAGCAAAAAAATCTAGAAACGTTTCGTCTCTCACATGAGCATGCATCAGGATATTGTATCAAAATAGTATCAATGTTGATATTAATATATCCAAGTATCGAAATTGCCAGGCCTGTAAGTAAGAATTTGTTCTTAGTGTTTGCCTGGTTAAAAAAAAAAAAAAAAGAAATAAAAGTTTCAGTTTATCCATTCAGCAAAATAGCTCAAGAGGAATCCAAATGGCTGATCAGAATAGTCAAAGATAAATATAATTATTAAATATAACCACATGCATCCGTCAAAACCCAAGAGTTTGTGTATTATTGGAAGCAGATTTGTCAAATTTATTACTTTGTCAAAATTTAGCCAGGATAAATAAATTTCTCCTAAAAATGGCGGCGCGTGCACACGCTGCGGCTACACTCTCTCCCGAGAATGCAGCTTTTTCATGTGTTTTTTCCTGTAAATCGCAGTATTTTTGCACGTCTCCGTCGTGCGCTCACGTCTTGAAGCGCACATACAGCCGTGAATCGCTGCTTGATGTCGGCAAAAGCTCACTTTTCGAGCTTAGCTCTGAACTTCGAGAGGGGCTGCGTGCTAGCGGCTTGCTCAGAACTCCGGCTCCACCACCGACCCCCTCCGCTGCACTGCGCCCACAATGGAAGCGCCACAAGCGGAACGAGAGGCTGCAGAAGAGGGGTAAGCGCGGAGGTATAAGAGCGAGGCTAGCTGCTAGCCCACACAAGCCAGCCATCCCCTCCATGATACTGGCCAACGTACGCTCTCTGGACAACAAACTGGATGACATCCGCTTACTTCAGTCAACTCAGAAGACCGTGAGGGACTGTTGTGTTTATGTTTTCACGGAAACTTGGCTTAAAGACAACATCCCGGACCACGCAGTTCAGCTCGAGCGGCGGACATGCTACCGAGCGGACCGAGTCCTCACTGAAGGTAAAACACGCGGCGGCGGACTTTGTGTTTACATTAGTGATGCTTGGTGTCGCAACGCTGTTGTGGTCTGCAAGTACTGCTCACCGGTGGTGGAACTGATGATTATAAAGTGCAGACCGTTTTATCTACCGAGGGAGTTCTCAGCTGTCCTGATAGCTGCTGTTTATCTGCCTCCGAGCTCCGCTAACATCAGGAGCGAAGCGCTGAACGAACTATATCAGAACATCAGTGAGCAGCAGACAGCCCACCCGGATGCTTTTCTCATCCTGGCTGGTGATTTCAACCATGCAGAACCAAAGAGTGTGTTTTCTGGACTTTATAAACATATAGACTTTCCAACACGAGGCAATAACACGCTGGATCAGGTCTTCACCACACGGAGAGGAGCTTACAAAGCCCGGGCCCTCCCCCACCTTGGTGATTCTGACCATCTGACTGTGATGTTAATGCCAGCATTCAGACCACTGGTTAAAGTCAACAAACCAGTTCTGAAGCAGATACGAGTGTGGCCTGAGGGCTCATCTGAGGCACTCCAGGACTGTTTTAGCACCACGGACTGGAATGTGTTTAAAATGGCTGCTACTCACAACAACTTCACTGACATTCAGGAGTACACAGAAACTGTCTCTGCTTATATCACAAAGTGCATTGATGATGTAACTGTCCTGAAGACCATCACCATCCGTGCTAATCAGAAGCCATGGCTGACAGGAGAGGTCCACAAGCTGCTGAAGGCTAGGAATGCTGCCTTCGCCGCTGGAGACCAGGCAGGCCTGAAGACAGCTAGGGCCAACCTGTCCAGAGGCATTAAAAAAGCTAAGAGGCAGCACTCCAAGAAAATAGCCCAACACTTCAAGGACAGCAGAGACTCTCGGAGCCTGTGGCAGGGAATTCAGTCCATTACAGACTACAAACCCTCTCCACAGACCTGTGACAGCACCCCCTCCCTGCTGAATGACCTGAACAGGTTTTTCGCTCAGTTTGAGGCACAGAATGGCACACCTGCACAAAAAGCCACCCCCCCTCCTGGAGACCAGGTGATCACACTGTCCCCGGACAAGGTGAGGAGAGCATTCAGCAAGATCAACGCTCGGAAAGCTCCTGGTCCCGACAACATACCTGGTCGCGTGCTGAAGGACTGCGCTGGCGAATTAGCA